CCCAAGGGATTAATAAAGTTCTATCCACCCACCTACACTAGTTTAACCGTATTTGTGCGTCTGTGTTTCTCAGGGAGTGGTGACAGACGCCTCCCCCCAGTCTGTGGCTCCCTCATCACAGGAGGTGACTGGTCAGCAGCAACAGATGCAGGTGGACACTGCTGCGGACCACGTTTCTGCTTACTCCTACCAGTCCAAGTAAGTGACACTGTGGTGGGTGAGCTGTACAAGGTCATGGGAGAATGGGTTTTTTTTCCTGGTTTTTTGTACTTATTTCAGCAGATTCTACAGGGACTTTAAAAGCATGACAATTTATGCAGGTTGCTGTCCAGGTTCATTCAGTTAGTTGGTAAATTTTTGCTCATTTCTGCATATTATATTATATCAGCAACAAAATCATAGTCCTGATGGTTCAGTTCCCCTTTTTGGACCAAAGCTGAATTAAAATGTTTGTACAACTTTAATGATCAAATCCAGAAATTAGAAGGAAGTCAAAAACCTATTTCTTTACTCAGGAATTCATATTGGTCTTTCACTCTCACTTTTTTCTTTTTTCTCTTAATAGTGAGCTTTAATCACAGCTGTATCACACCTTTTCTCTCTGCCTCTCTCTGTCTCTCTCCCCCTCTGTCCTTTTTTCATCAGATAGCAACGGCCTGAGCGAATGTTCCTGTGACAGCGTTGCCTTGAGACAGAAGGTGGCTGCACTGTGAATGTGAGGAGGGAAAAAAGAGAGAATAGAAGGAGATTGCTTCCAGATTTGCGCAGGCACCAAAAAAAGAGACACTTTTTTCATTTCCTACCTGGCCTACGAGAAAAGAAACAAAACACAGACACACACACAGACACACGGAGGGAAGAGGCAAGAAGGAATGGATGGATGGATAAAAAAAATTGCAGGGCACAGTGCAACAAGGAGTGAAGTGGTTTAAGTCTGGGAACCTGCCTGAAGGACTGAGGTGAAGCTTGAAAAGTTTCTCACAGAAAATCTTCTTCTACCGGTTTTAAAAAAAAAAGAGAGATAAAAAAAATGTTAAAAAGTTTTTAAAAAAAGACCAAAAAAAGGGGTTGAATGTGCAGGTAGGTGATGAAGTTTATTTTGTAATTGGAAAAAAATAAGAAAAACAAATGTGGGGAGTCAAGTTTGAGATACACACAGAGATTGTCTTCCTCAGATATTAAGCTACGTTTGTTTCTTCTTTTCACTCTCTTTTTTATGTTCTAGTCTTCAAATTTTAGTTTTCTAGATATATTTGGTAAAAAAAAAAAGTTTTTCATTTTCTTTTTTTCTTTCTTTTTATCAAATCTTCATGGCCTTAATTTGAAGGGCGCCAGAAACTTTTTAACAGAGTTAAACTCTGACATCTGGTTAATGTTGGGGTGAGAAAAAAAATAAAATGACAAAAACAAAAAAAAAAAAGAAAAAAAAGAAGAGAAAAAAAGAGAAGAATCTATCACATAAGCTGTACAGATTTAATAGAGAAGAGCTTTTCTTTCTTTTCTTCATTAGAAGAAAAAAAACTTTGATAATAATTATGTCAGAGGTAATTAATTATGTGTCAGAAGAAAACAAAAAAATGTCTGTTTGTTTGTTGGGATGAAAAAGAAAAAGAAAACTGACTTTGGGAGCGGGGAGGGGGAGAAGACCAAGCTCTGAAGAGATTTTTCACAATGAGTTAAAAACAAAATTATGAAAATATAGAAAAAAAAAAAACATGCTGCATTGTGGAGGCAGCAGTGTGTCGCTGAAACGCTGAACTCGTTTTTATCCCTATGATTCCTGTTGATTATTTTCCACCGTCATCCACATGAGTGCTTTTTATCTCTGCCAACTTTTGCTTCTTTTTTTTTTTAAATCAGCTTCACCATGTTTTTAGCCCGCTTTGCTTGTCACACCGCGAACAAAAAACAACAAAAAACTCTTTATAAAATATTGCAGCGAAGAAAAAAAAACAACTGTAGATTCAGTAGGAGCTTTTGGTTTGAACCAATCAGTGCAAAAGCAATAGAAAGAAATTGTTGACAATTTCTGTAGTCTTTCCTAGTCGTGGATCAAATGCAGCCCACGGACGGCCATTTTTATACCAAAGATGAAGAGACACTCGAAACCAGAGGTGGTTGTTGTTTTTATTTTTCTTCTTTTTTTCATATTTCAGTTTGATTTTGTTGTTGTTGATGATGTTGATGTTGTTGATGTAAATGTTGATGTTGCTGTTGTTGTTGTTGCCGTTGTTGTTGGGGTTTTGTTGTTGTTTTCCATTTTTTGTGTTCCCTTTTTTTTATATATACCACAATGGCCGGACCAGTCCTTCTCGCCGGGTTTAAGCTAATGTTCCACTGTTTTACAAGCTAGCACCGACACGTGCACAGACACACACACACACACACACACACACAAACAAACTCAAGCAAAAACTTCAGACAGTGATGAAACAAGTCAAGATGTTTTGGGGGTTTTTTTTCTCAACCAGCTGTCAACTATGATTGTGATGAAACAAGTCAAAATGTTTTGGGTTTTTTTTCTCAAAAAACGATGGTCCCAGACCATGTGACCATCGTGTTACACCTGTAGCAGTTAGTAGGAACTTATGGGGCCGGATGTGATTTGTCAACATGGAACCTGCACAAAATCAATACCACTTCCTGTTTCAGCTAATTACTTGGATAATGAAGTGAGTAGATCCAGATCCATACAGTAGAATGGACTAAAATAATAATGATGATCTGGATCATTAGGACATGATCAAGATTTGACTAATTAGCAAAGCAGCTAACCCCGACCATGTGACCTGATAGGCCTGACATATTGTCTTGTATCTAATCCTGTCTGAATCTGATCTGGATCTGATTAGAGACATATTGTCTTGTATCTAATCCAGTCTGAATCTGATCTGGATCCGATTAGATCTAAGCTCTAAACATTATTGATGGATTTTCTGTGGGCCACTGTTTTTCACTGGATCCAGTCTGGTTCAGGGTTGGTTATTAGGCAGGTTATCTGGCCCCTTCAATCTGCCAAATGTGAGTTGCGTTCACTCATGGTTCATGAAGCGACCTACGTGGTCCAGATCTGATTTAAAACCTGTTCAAAGGCAGCTCATCCAGACTGATCTGATCTGGACCTGTTCCTACTCTCAGAACCGTTTGGAAGGGGTTATTTAAAGATCTGACGTGGCCCAGATCTGATATGTACCTCTTTATAAAGAAGCCCATCTGGTATCAATCTGACGCTGTAACCATGATGGTCACAAAGCAGCCTAAAAAGCCAATTGGACCTGATGGTTCCTGATGGATCCAGTAGGACAGGTGCTTCATGAACTGATACAGTTTTAGCTCCGGTGACAAACTCTTGGTTAAAGATATTTAATACGCGTCCCACATGTTAGGAAAGTGGACGGCAGTTAGTTTTCTTTCTGGGTTTACGCTGAAACAGTCTCCACTTGTACATGTTGGCTCAACATCTGGTTCCCAGCAGAGTAGGGTCTCTCAAGGTGACACTTTAAGGAAGATGTTGATGTGTTCCATGATTTGTGGTTCGTTTTCCATTTCAGCTCCTGACTCTGTCCCTTCACTGATGTTTATTGTTTTTGTCTCTCCATCAGTTTGACTCTCCTCCACCTCAGGACTGTCCCTGCTGCTGTCTGACCCAATCCTACAGTCCTTATAGACTCGTTAGGTATTCACGTTAGGTTTTAAATCAACAAAAGAAAAAAAATCTTCAGCTGTAATTTCATAAGCGCGGTGGAAGCTAACAGGAGTGCTGAAGGTACGTGAAAGAAAGCCAGAGAAATTAGACCTTGGTTTTGACCTTTTCCTTTATTTTCTACCATCTGTTCTTCCTTGAATATCATAAACATTACTCTCATGTCTTCAATTTAACTCTTTTATCATCCGCAGGACTTTAAGTTGACGTGTACGCCGGCCCAAGTCGACCTCTAGGTGTCACACTGACTGTCTCTATCGTGGTTCTTAGTAGTTAGTTTTTCCTGATGTCTGATGCTGTCATGTCTCGTCCTCTTGTCTTCGTGAATGTGATTGACGCCTGATGCCGTCATGTCTCATCCTCTTGTCTTCGTGAACGTGATTGACAACCACAGAACCAGCAGAGAGCTCATATGTCTGAGATCCTGTCCACTGCACCGGTGTAAATAACCAGGGAGAAGTTTGTTCTTCTGTGTGAGGGCCTGAAAGAAGCTGCTTCACGTCTGGTACGTCCCCTCACCGATCACAGCACAGTGTGGGGGTCGGTGGACCTGCTGATGCTGAGGAGCCTCCTCACCAGCCTTAACAACATACTGATGGCTGCTCCTTTCACCACTGAGTGTCACTTACACTGCTGGTTGTCACAATTTGTCGCACAAACAACCTCGACCCATTTCTATCTCTGAGCCAGGTAGGATTTTTCACTGGCTTCATCTTAGGGTTGACCCTGAAGAAATTGCCTGTGGGACAGCAGTCATTTCTGCCGCTCTTCTTTGCCCCCTCACTGTGTCATTTCAGCATTAAGAAGCACTGTTTCTTTCCCTTCTCCTTTCTTTTCTGCTGCCATTAACGTGTCATGGCCGGGTCAAGCTCCTTTGCTCTCATTTTCCCTCACTGTCACTCCCTCCTCTCTTTCTCTTTCTCTTTCACTCCCCTCTCCCTCCCTCTTTCATCTGAGGTTTCTTTCCTTTATTGAATGGTGCAGAAGCAGAACCACAAACTAATTTCAGTCACTCTGGCGATGAGGCTTGACGGAGCTGGATTTGTCTCCCTCTGGGGAGGTAGAATCCACTCCACTGTCCCTCAGAAGACCCCACTCCTCCAAACAAAGAAGACTTTTTTCTTGGTTAAGTGACGATTACAATTGAGCTGTCGCGTTCCTTTGTGTTTCAGTTCAAATCTTTGATCCGGATTTGCATCTACGGACCGCTGCAGGCGAACGCCATGTGGCCATGTTTGTCGGCAACACTTGTTGCCACTTGTACATCCAGTGCCTTTTGAGCAAAGCTTCTAAAAAAGGTTGAAATATTGGAGCTCATCAGATTAGTCGTGTTGAATCAAGGCTTCTTTAATGGTGCTAACGAAGAGGCTTGGGCCTCAGACTTGGGCCTGGCTGAAGATCATTCTGATCATGAGTCCTCAGAAGGAGTCCAGCGCGCCTTCTGCTCCTTCTGCTCCTTCTGCTCCTTCTGCTCCTTCTGCTCCTTCTGCTCCTTCTGCTCCTTCTGCTCCTTCTGCTCCTTCTGCTCCTTCTGCTCCTTCTGCTCCTTCTGCTCCTTCTGCTCCTTCTGCTCCTTCTGCTCCTTCTGCTCCTTCTGCTCCTTCTGCTCCTTCTGCTCCTTCTGCTCCTTCTGCTCCTTCTGCTCCTTCTGCTCCTTCTGCTCCTTCTGCTCCTTCTGCTCCTTCTGCTCCTTCTGCTCCTTCTGCTCCTTCTGCTCCTTCTGCTCCTTCTGCTCCTTCTGCTCCTTCTGCTCCTTCTGCTCCTTCTGCTCCTTCTGCTCCTTCTGCTCCTTCTGCTCCTTCTGCTCCTTCTGCTCCTTCTGCTCCTTCTGCTCCTTCTGCTCCTCGTGCTTCTTCATTGTTGCCCCGTCTCAGAGGCATCATTGTCTGAAATCTACTTGGCTGTTTTTATTGAAGCCCCAGCAAATATTTGATAGACAAGTTATGCTTTACCATGTACAACATGGTAAATTCAATGTAACGTTTTTCCGTGTTTCCTAAGAGCTAAGGTCAAAGGTCAAAGGCCAAGTAAGATGTCATGTTATGCCACAGTTGCAGTAGCGTTGGCTTCTTTCTCCTTCTCTCTGTCGTTGGTTCTTAATGAACAGAAATGTTGGGGTTTCATGCCCCCACCCCACCTCTCCCCCCTAATGTGGGTGTGGTACAGGAGAGCATCTGAGGTTCAGCTGTGATGGCATTATGGTTTAGGGGATTACAAATAGTCGCCAGATTATGGAACACATGCACAACAAAGACTAACAGCTCTAAGTGTTTCCTCTAAGTGTTTGCATTTGGTGCTTGGTACTAATATTTCATCGACATCCAGGGGAGAGAGAGAGATGGCCTGACGGAACTAATAAAAATGGCTCTCTCTTAATAGCACAACGACATCATAATGTTCCTTCTTCAGAATAACAATACCTTCACATTCATTCACAGGAGGCATGCCTGCATTTTAAGGAGACTGAAGCAGCAGAGCTCTGCTACCAGTCAGACCATGTGTCAGCACAAAACCTCGAAGCCAGCTCTGTGTGTGTGTGTGTTATCTAAATCTAACTAATCCTGCAGAGACTTTACGCTAAGTAAATCTGTGGGCTGCGAACAATTGTAGAAATCGATGTTTGCCACATCTCACTTGGCCTTTGACCTTAGCTCTTAGAAAACAAATTAACCATGTTGTACATTAGAAATCAAAGCTTGTGTCCAACTGTAACAAAATTCTCCCTTTCAGATAAATATCATTTGGATTTGTTGTAACATACTTGTAGTAGTATCATATTTTAGGAGTAAAAAGTCAGGTGAGAAATGATTAAAAGTACGCTTTAATGATTTTTCTGATCCTGACCCTCTGCCCAGTCAGTCTCTTGTTCAGCTGATTGTGGATCCTTTGAAAGATAAATACTTCTTTCTTTATTTTAGACAAACTTTAACCAAAAACTAGCTGGGTTGGCATGGCTGAAATAGATCATTAACTTTCACAGCACGATGAGGGGCG